AAGTGAGAAAGCAAGCCACCAGGTCCAGGACATGAACCGCAGTTGGCCATGTGGGAGTCCAGCACTCTTAACCACCACACCACCTGCCTACCCCAGCCCCATGTGTTTTTCAAGTTGCTGGGGCTGAGATTAAAACTAGGGTTGGCCATCAATGTGCGATCTGGCTCCCATAACCGGTAGGCTATAGGGCTGACCTGGGATTAACTTTTTCTTATTCTCAGGTTTCAGTCAGAACTTCCCCAGCCTCATACTTTGTAATGACTATGAAAAAGTGTATTATGAAAATGATAGTAGCACAGAAAAATGCTTCTGATATATTATTAAATGAAACATCATTTATATATGTATTTGTATAAACAGATATAAATACATAGACTATAATCTCACTCTCCCTTTCTCTTTCTCTCTCTCTCTCTCAGATTAAAAGACAAATGGAGAGGACCAGCAGGTGGTATGGCAATTAAGGTGGCTGGATCCCACATGGCCAACTTCAGAGTTTTGAGTCTGGACCCAGTGGCTTGCAAGTCGTGCTGGGTGCTGTATGTGTGCCCAAAAAATCCCACAAGGAGAATGGAGAAGGATTGTGGTGTGGTCATCCTTGCTGTGGGATGATTTCTCTCTTTCACTCTCTCTGTCTCTCTTTCTAACAAGCACATGCACTGATGGTAAAAACCTTAAAAAAAAAAAGAAAAAAAGAAAAGATTGTTTTCTTTGAAATCAAAGCCGCCTTAAGATCATATTATCAGCATCACACAAAAAGGGTGAAGAACCTCCCAGGAAAGTATAAGTAATAGGAGGAGAGCAAGAGAGAAGAGCCCAGCTGTTAGTCTCAGTGGGAGTAAGAGCACCAGCAGCTGGTCCGCTGCTCATAAGCACAGGAGACCGAAGGCCCAGTAAGGGGAAACCAGCAGTGGGTTTTATGATTAGGAAACAGCACATGCACCTAGCAATGACAGTGAGCCTCTGCATCACACTCACCCAGCAGGGCAGCCACTATGCCCACCAGCCCGGTGCCAGCACCCAGCTCCACGGCAGAGCGGCCCCGGAGCTCCACTGCTCCCATCTCCAGATACGTAGAAAGAACCACGGCCTAAGTCAAAACACAGTGTGATTAGGAGTGAGGTCCGTAAGTGCCCCGCCACTGCTGGTTTTAAGGGTTACACACTGGCAGGGAGAGGCTACGCACCTCTTCCATTGGATAGGAGGTTAGAGAAGTATTTACTAAACATCATATCATAATATTTAGTTACATGTGTTATAAAAATGCTCATCTTTAGAGGAATTTAGATTGCTTTAAGCAGATCTCAACCAGGAAGGTTAAGATTTTATTTTATACCAGAACAATAAAATATATTAGTAAAAACAGTATATTCTTTTAAATCTAGGGCTACTTACTGGTCAATTTTAAAAGGATACTTACATTTACACAGGCTAAGAATTTCAATATACAATCTGCTATTACTGCAAGAAGACTGTATTGAACCATTATGTAAAGTTTTGAGAACATGGAAAGGAGAAAAAACCCCTAGGATTGTTAGATCATCCCCTGCTTAATAAGTGACCTTTCTGAAAAACACTAAACCAAAATTAAAGATTAACACATGACACGGTGGACCAGCAGGTGGTGTAGTGATTAAGGCAACTGGATCCCACATGGTCAATTGTGCGGTTTGAGTCTGGACCCAGTGGCTTGCAAGTCGTGCTGGGTGCTGTATGTGTGCCCAAAAAATCCCACAAGGAGAATGGAGAAGGATTGTGGTGTGGTCATCCTTGCTGTGGGATGATTTCTCTCTTTCACTCTCTCTGTCTCTCTTTCTAACAAGCACATGCACTGATGGTAAAAACCTTAAAAAAAAAAAGAAAAAAAGAAAAGATTGTTTTCTTTGAAATCAAAGCCGCCTTAAGATCATATTATCAGCCTCACACAAAAAGGGTGAAGAACCTCCCAGGAAAGTATAAGTAATAGGAGGAGAGCAAGAGAGAAGAGCCCAGCTGTTAGTCTCAGTGGGAGTAAGAGCACCAGCAGCTGGTCCGCTGCTCATAAGCACAGGAGACCGAAGGCCCAGTAAGGGGAAACCAGCAGTGGGTTTTATGATTAGGAAACAGCACATGCACCTAGCAATGACAGTGAGCCTCTGCATCACACTCACCCAGCAGGGCAGCCACTATGCCCACCAGCCCGGTGCCAGCACCCAGCTCCACGGCAGAGCGGCCCCGGAGCTCCACTGCTCCCATCTCCAGATACGTAGAAAGAACCACGGCCTAAGTCAAAACACAGTGTGATTAGGAGTGAGGTCCGTAAGTGCCCCGCCACTGCTGGTTTTAAGGGTTACACACTGGCAGGAAGAGACTACGCACATCCCTCTCTGACTTCAAGGTTCAACTCCCGGTTTGACAGCACAACGTGCCGAGCTGCTGCTGCGAGGTAACCACCTAGAACAAGTGGAGAGACAGAGGACCCCACGTTCCTAACAGGGCCAGCAGTGGTCAGTGTACTGCCCACCAAGACTGGGTCCTGCTAAGTCCAGCAAATTCACTACTGTACTCTTTTGCAGCACTTTTTTTAACCCTTCATTTTTGTCAGAGGGTGCATGTGCTCTCCACCAAGAGGGATGAGGAGAAAGCACCCCCTCCCCATGGGGAATGGTCACCCCACATCCCTTCTCCTCCAGCTCCTCCAGCTGTTTCTCCTTCCAGGATTTTGGGCACATACACATGCACACACACACACAGACACACACACACACACACACACACAGAATGTATCTCAAGCCACAGGGTCCGGGACTAAAACCATGCCATCAGCCACGTGGGATCCAGCCACCTTAACCACTAGACCACTGGCTGGCCCATGGTGTAGCACTTTAATGCCTGAGATTTACAAAACCATCCAGGAAGAACATGAACAACTCATGGGATTCCATTTACCAGCATGTCTAGTTTTTTTTTTTTTTTTAAGGAATTTTTATTTAACTTTATTTATTCTTTTTTTTTTTTTTTCCTTTTTACTTTGACCACAGAAGGACAAAGCGAGAGAGAGTGGTAAAGTGAGAAAGCAAGCCACCAGGTCCGGGACTTGTACCATAGTCAGCCATGTGGGAGTCCAGCACCCTTAACCACCATGCCACCTGCTAGACCCCCAGCATATCCAGTTCTAAACCAGGTTTGGATTAGCAAGTCCTCACTTCACCCAGAGGGAAAAGCAGTGCAGTGGCCATGGCCCCCTGAATGCATCACTGCCAGGCACACCCCACAGGGCCCTCACCGCATGTTCCGAGCATCAGAAACGTACGTTTTGGCCAAATTTCGGATACTTATATGAGTGAGCATTTGCTTAAAATCTTATAAAAAGAACAGTAGACTGTCCTCTTTTCCACTATACAAGATGGCAGGTGAAAAAACTGCAAAGCAGGATACTGAGGAGAAGAAACCTAAAGCCAAGAAGGCTGATGCTAGAAGCAAGGTTAAAAAGGGTGACCCCAAGGCTAAAAAGTCCAAGAAGGGGAAGCCCCATTGCAGTCAGAAACCCGGTCCTAGTCCGGGGCATCAGCAGATACTCCCAGTCTGCCATGTATTCCAGGAAGGCCATGTACAAGAGGAAATACTTGGCCACTAAATCCAGGAAAAGAAAAAGGAGAAGGTTCTTGCAACTGTCACAAAACCAGCTGGTGGAGACAAGAATGGTGGTACCTGGGTGGTTAAACTGCGCGAAATGCCTAGGTATTATCCTACTGAAGATGTGCCTCAATAGCTGTTGAGCTATGGGACCAGCAGTTAGTGTAATGGCTATGTCACTGGACTCCCACGTAGTCGACTGCGGTTCGAGTCCTGGGCCTGGTGGCTTAAACTCACGTCGAGTGCGTGTGTGTGTGTGCCCAAGATTCCAAGAGGAGAATGGGGGAGAAGGGATTGTGGCGTGGCCATCCCCCCTGGGGGGTGATTTCTCACTTTCTGTCTCTCTGTCTCTCTCTGTCTGGCGAGCGCATGTGCCCTATAGCAAAAACCTCTCCAAAAAAATAAAAAAAAAAGCTGTTGAGCCACAGCAAAAAACGCTTTAGTAAGCAGGTGAGAAAGCTGTGAGCTAGCATTACTCTTGGGACCTTTTTTTTTTTTTTTTTTGCTATAGGGTTAGTGCGTTCGCCAGAAAGACAAAGAGATAGAAAGCTAGAAATCACCCCCCAGGGGGGATGGCCACACCGCAATCCCTTCTCCTCCATTCTCCTCTCGGGATCTTGGGCCCGCATGCACACACACCTGGCATGAGTTTAAGCCACTGGGTCCAGAACTGGAACCGCAGTCAACTACATGGGAATTCAGCAACATAGCCATTACACTAATTGCTGGTCCCACTCCTGGGACCATTGTGATCATCCTCACTGGACGCCACAGAAACAAGAGAGTAGTTTTTCTGAAGCAGCTGAGCAGTGGCTTGCTCCGTGTAACTGGACCGCTGGTTCTCAATTGAGTTCCACTGTGTAGAACACACCAGAAATTTGTCATTGCCACCTCCACGAAAATTGATATTACCAAAGTAAAAATCCTAAAGCACCTTACTGATGCTTACTTCAAGAAAAAGAAACTGCGGAAGCCCAGACACCAGGAAGGTGAGATCTTCAACACAGAGAAGGAGAAATACGAGATTTCAGAGCAGCACAATATTGATCAGAAAGCTGTGGACCCGCAAATTTTACCAAAAATCAAAGCTGTTCCTCAGCTCCAGGGCTCCCTGCGATCTGTGTTTGCCCTTACAAATGGAATTTATCCTCACAAATTGGTGTTTTAATTTTTTGCCAAGAACCTAATTAAGTAACTGATCATATAAAAAAAAAAATGAACAGTAGACTGTTAACACAATTTTTTTTAACTATAATTTGTTTTTTATAGTAGCCATATGCTATAATTGGCAATTTTTCTTCTTGGTAAGTATTTACAAGGCTTCCCATTCCTCATTATTATTTATCTGTATTACTCATTTAGAGCATAAGTTTTCACGTAGTGGCCCTGGATACGATTCCTGGAAGTGATATTACTTATTAGGTAAGACTATACTATGATTTTTACCCCTGCAGATCTAACATTCTTTTTTTTTGGGGGGGGGAGATTTTCGCTATAGGGCGCATGCGCTCGCCAGACAGACAGACAGAGACAGAGAGACAGAAAGCGAGAAATCACCCCCCAGGGGAGGTGGTCACGCCGCAATCCCTTCTCCTCCATTCTCCTCTCGGGATCTTGGGCACACATGCACACGCGTCCGGCGTGAGTTTTAAGCCACCGGGTCTGGGATGTGAACCACGGTCGACTACATGGGAGTCCAGCGACATAGCCATTATGCTAACTGCTGGTTCCCTAACATTCTTAATACAGAGCACAGCCTGTAAAACTGTATTTACACCAATCGTTAACTCCACAGTAACTGAGCTCCAGAGAGGCCCTAGGTAATGCTCACTGCTAAGGGTGCAAGTCTCTCTCCTCAAGCAGACAGAACAGTGTTGGGAGAGGCAGAGGTAAAACAGCAATCAGAATTTTGTAACTACTGATATTAGGAATATTAGGACTACAAAAAAATGTAGAGAAAGCACATAATCTTCATTTGAGACTTTATTACTTTACAGTAATCTTCGTGCAACGTTTTCAAAACACTAATTTAATGAGGGTCCAAAGCCATCAGGGCTCCAGTCTCCT